AGCGCAAATCGAAAAAAAAATCCGATTTTTTTCGACTCGCGCTTCGCGCTAGATTGCGTGGCAGGCCGTAGAAGGGGAAGGAAAGGGTCAAATCGGACGCCTGCCACGCAGGCTACGCTTCGCGTAAGTGGTCGCGCTCCACGCTCATGTATCGCTTTTCGCTCTCTGCCCTGCTAATCCGCCTCTTCTGCACAATGCACTGAGTGGGCGCAGTCGGAAATAAAGTTAATCCCGTTGGAGGACGCGGCTAGACTGAACGGAAACAATGGATTTTTGCCAAAGTTCATCCAAGATTATTACCGTATTGTTTGCATTTTTGATAGCCAGAAATCAAGAGTGATTAGATGGTGATGACAGACAGGTATTGAAATTCCTTCAAAAATTCTGTACTGTGCTCTCGTGCAGTGAAAAACAAGAAGCTGCTTTTGTACTATTGATATTTACTTCCCGTACATGCATACCCTAAGGTTACTTGGTCTCAAATGAGACGGCTGAAAACTAAACCTGGTATATCACGCATGCCAGCCTTATGGTACCAGTAAGAGTTATTGTTCATGAAGTAAAAGAAACATATTTTCAGTTGTCGGTTTTCGACGTAAAAAGTGCCAAATATCACGTTGCATGATCGATTTGTTCGGTTCATATGCGTGAAAAACAAGCGGCAACGGATGTCACAAGTGCATGTTTCCTGCATTGGTTGACATAGTGTCAGTTTCAGACAGCCAGATGTCTATAAAACCGGTCTGACAGGTTTAGTCACTGCGGGATAAAATTAAGAAGGTACATCGAATCTAACTTTTAGTTCGGTGTTTGGAATTGGACAGAGCAAGAACCTTTGTCATGAAGAGCCTTTGGCTGATTTTGTTAGTTATAGCTGTCGTATTGGTCGTCACAGCGGAGTCTAGAAAAGACCGCAAGCCTGGGAAAAAGGCTGGAGTGGGAAAAGGTAAAGGAGGCCGCAACAACAAGCCAAATAAGAAAGGTGAGCATTATGTTTACTTAATCTGCAGAAACTAGTTACAGTGTAAAATTTCTACTGAAATTTCAAACGATAAACAATCATCACCATTAGAAAGAAATACTCGTAAGCTTTTAATTGAATTTGCAACATAATAGGATTCTCCCATGAGTCGTTACTCGAACGTGTGTTGCGTCGCAGTTTATCATTCTCTGACAAAAATTTTGCGAACTTGATTTTATTCCGATCTGTTATTGAATTTGTTGAATATCATATCATAGTTGCATGGACTTCACCTCATCCGCTGCATGCGTACTTTTTTATCTGGCTTACTTTTGTCATATTTTAGCCCAAAGAACGTAAATCTCTCTTACGAACGTGCTGGTTACAGGTCGGGGATTACCTGTTTCTTGGCCTTCATGTGTAACTGCGCGTTCGCGAATGAAGCTAGCCGGTGTTCGAGTATCGACAAAACAATTTTCTTTTGTTGGGTAACATCAGCAACAAATATTTATTAGGGTTCCTAACTTCCATTGACAACCTATAACCGTATAGATAACCCGAGTATCAGGTTCTCAGGTATATCTGTATGTTTCTTTCGGAAAAACCTGATCATCAGGCTACCGGAAAGATGGCGTATGAGCACTGAGCTAGAAAAAAATTATATGAAAGAGGTTAGCATGTAAAGGTTCTTGAAAAGATTCTCAGTCCGTGTAACGTCTTCATGTGTCAGGTTCATAGACTTCATATTTCTGTTCTTTGAAGAAGAATATTTTTGTGAGGTACATTTGAAGGTTTATGTACGCGAAGAGTTAATGCTTTGTCAAAGCACGCAGTCAATACTATTTAGTCTTCTTAAATTATTTATTGAGACAATTTCCCGGGTCAAAATGATCCGCAAGGTTTTCCATGCTTGCCTAGAAATGTTAAATGTTTTTATAGTGCAGATAAGGTGGTGATAAAGATTGCTCAGATTTCTCTTAGGAATGAGTGGATTTACATGTAAAAAAAAATATTTGTGTGTATGTTTGGCATATTATCTTCCACCAGAATGCCCTGTTAATTGCAGTAATTGTGGGCTGGCTGGAAGGTGCGTCGAGTGCGATGATGGATTCGTCAAAATAACTCTCCCTAAAAAACGATCGAAAGAAATCTGTGTACCATGCAGTCAACAGCTATCCAACAAAAGAAAGGGCCTGGACCGAGACACCTCTAAATGCCCGACTGGTGAGTGAGAACAGCAAGCGTTTGTCATCAATTCACTGTCTGATGGCTGATGGTCAAGTTATAAATTCCTCTTACTGCTTTCCAGTCATTTCTTGTCATTGAATTAGGGAGAATTGGAATACAATCTTCCCTTTGTTATCATGACCTGATCACGCGTGGATCACGGACCATTTCCATTCCGATCAGAGGGACAAAGGACTAAAATTTGTGATGACAAGGAATTACGTACTGTAAGATTACCCAGATGCTTTATTGACAGCTAGCTGTCATCTTATCTCGGTGCCCAAATTAGACCTTTAAATCGTGGCACGCTTCATACGTACTAAAGCACAGGCCCCCAAGCGACCATAGCCTTCCGTAATAGCAGTCACGGCAAAATTATCGGACTTTGTATGGGAATATTTAAGATCGGTTTTAGGAGGTAGAAATACTAGATAGGTCTTGATTAAAATGCCTTGTCTTACTTCCACACTATGTTGCATGTTGTCTGTTATCTTTATCTGCTGTTTTGAAGCGATATTAGCCCGCGGGTTTACCGAGTTATCGCTTCCAAGGTTTCAAACTCTTAAGAGAAAAAACTTGGGCCGCCTGTGGTCAAAGGTGCATATCAGGATCAAAACATAAAGAAGAGAGCAAACACGTTTTCAGCGGTACCGATAGTACATAGCAGGCCTTCCACTACGAGAAAACAAAAACGCATCATATAAAGGCAGGGCTAAATACGCAACAATCATGATAAGCAATTTTAACTAGATGAAAAAAAAAAATTAAAAAATAAATAAATTAAATTAAAGAAATAAACGTTTCCTTGACTGGTTTGGTTTCAGAGCCTACAACGTCAGCCAAGCCTACCTGTCCCACAGACTGCTCCAGCTGTCAGGATGGTATCTGTCTTGTTTGTGACAGCGGATTTGCGTTAGTTTCTCGGCGTAAAAATAACACAATTTGCATTCCTTGTGGTTCAGGAAGGAACGGTAAAAAGGTGGATAAATCACAATGTGGCTCAGGTAATAGTAATTATTTACAAAGCCAAAACATTTTATTAAGGTTTCCATCAATGGAAAAGTCAAACTCAAGATAATGCTCCAGTAACATGATTTCTCTCCTTATGAATTAGGTTTTCAAAGATTTATTTCGCTGTAATTATTTTCTAGTTTGCAAGAGTCACCGATGACGACCTCTTCCTGGCTGTAAATAAAAATATTTGAGCCAAGAATTCTCTTTTTTCCCTGGCTGACCTAGCTATAAATTTTGTTTTGCAACCTACCGCAATAATTGATTATAATTATGGGTCATAAATTTGCGAGAGCCTATTTTGTTTAAGGATTTCTTGTTGTCCCGTTTCAGACACTTGTGGAAAAGGCTGTCTAAAATGTACCAATGGCAGTTGCAGTGCGTGTAAAGATGGCTTTGAATTGAATCAAGAAAAGAGCAAGTGCAAAAAGAAGAAAGGTAAGTTCTATTACAAGGTACGATTTTAGAAGACCTAACTTAGAGCATTAACACTGTAGTCACCCACTATTCTGAATAATGGCAGAACTTCTGTTGAAAGATCTTGGTAATTCTAAGCTCACGGATGGTATAGCCTGCGAAAGCAAGGTATGCTTCGGTGGCTTCCCTGAGTGACACAGAAATCGGTGAGTGCATGATCATTTGCAGAGCGGCTAGTCTACAGGAAATCCAAAGGTCACCAGTTTTTCCAGAGGTGGTCCATGGCTCTCCTTGTGAAAGCAAGTTAAAGGTATAGATGATCTGGTCAGTCATGTCGAGCCAAATTGTGGTTGTCTTTTTCTCTGTACTTTCTTAATCCATGCGATATTTCTTGGACACTATCGACTCCACTAGTGGGCGTGTCTTTGCATGCTTTCCTTACCTGTTGACTGCTTTAATATTCTCAGATTGTGCACGCGGCTGTCTTAACTGCACATCAGGGATTTGTTCCAAGTGCAAAGAAGGCCTCACTCTTAACCGGAAATCGAAAAAATGCGTTAAACTATGTTCAGCAGCAGACCCTGATGTTAAAACTCGGCCAGGCTGTGAAGGAAGACCCAAGGGAAAAGAAGGAAAAAAGAAACGAAAAGGTAAGTTCTGTAAACTTGATCACTGGTTAGATAATTGCATGTTTGCCGGGATTCGACCAGCCTCGTCAAACAACTTGAAAGAATAAACTAAGCAGTGTCCTAACTTGTATGTTGTTTTCTTTTTGATTAACAGGGGGCAAAAGAAAATCAAACCGTAAGCCGACATCTTACCCAGAACAACCACAGTAACTGAACACAACACAGGACCTTCGCAGTTGAATAACCTGCCAAAGCCACGATCACCCAAAGCCAAGTACTTCGCATACTGTATTTGGCTGTAATCATGTACATACAAAGCTGATATTGTCCAATAGTCATTTTTTCCCACGCTATCACGGCAGAGTTTAGTGCATTTTTGGTCAAAACCATTCTAAAAGTCCCTTCCAGCTCGCAGACGAAATTCTCCTAGGAAACCAAGAAGGAGATATTGATTGAATTGTTGAAGGGAGAACAAGTTAAAAATAGTTTTTAGCGCGTTTTCCAAGACGCGATTGACAGAATTGAAAACGTCAGCTGGGCTTTTTAAATTCGACATCTCAATCTTGAGCATGGATAAAGCGTTTCAGCACTCTTATAGCTTCGATAAATTTTCACTTTAGGTTTCAATCAATGTAAAAGGTTGTTATGTTTTGTCTTGACTTTCCAAAGTCATACTCATTAAACTTACAATAGCTACCTTGTTTTTACCAACATTAGCACTTGCCTTTCTGATCCATGAAACAAAATCAGGAGAGAAATGAAAAGGACTCGAAAGGTTATAGTGATGATTATATAATTCAGAGAAACCCTAGTTTATATTTTAATCCAGGAAATAAGAATT